CCATAACTTCACTTCCAAGTGTACAGAAACCAAAACCCAATACTTAAAATCCCATGCTTAAACGAAAATATAGCAAAGAGAGTAAAAACAGAAACAGATTGCAGACTTGGGTTGGGTGTTTGTAACAGAGAGAAATGAATTTAGAGCAGAAGAGATAAAACTAGAGAGAGCAAGCTTACCCAGAGCGTGTTTCCTTCTTTTTTTTTCAAGTTGAATAAACGCTATCAAAAGGAAGAACAGGTATCACATAAGAGAAAGCAGAGAGAGGCTTGAAGACTGAAGAGGCGGTGGTGGGTGACAATGTGCCGCCGTTTTGCTTATCCGTTTTCTGTCGTTTTCTCGCTTCTGCAAAATGCAGGCAAATGAACAGAAGTCCTCAAAGGCAGGCCTGATAATATTTCACATGGCCCAAGTAAGGCTTAGCCCAAACTGGTTTTTAGGGCTTTCTCATCCTTTGGGCCTTAGGCATTGGAGATTTAAATGAAAAACACCCCTCTAAAGAATTACACAATTTCGACCCCAAAAAAAAAAACAAATTGCACAATTTGAGAAATAAAAAATAATAATTACACAAATGACAATTTAAAAAAAATAATAATAATTGATAGCAATGGGTTTGTTGCTTAAGTGGTTAAGAAGAGCATTTACTACTACACCCAAAATCCTAAGTTTACTTGTATAAAGGAAAAAGAAAAAAGACTTTCATGATAGGGCATGTGAATAGAAGACTTTCATGCTCAAGTGACAACCGTTTGGTTCACAGAATGGATGGACTTCTTGGTAACGAAGTTGTCATGCTCATTCTATGGCATGTGAATAGAAGACTTTCATTCCTTTATTTGGGAATTCTTGGAAAATGAAAACAAGGAATTTTTTTTCACTTCCACATTTAGTTTATGCAATAATAAAATATGTTTGTTTTACAATAATACCCTCCACATTGCATATTTAAAAGTGGGGGTTCAAATTTAATACAAAGGTAATTTAGAAACAAAAAATGCACGAAATTTAGTAATTGCTACGAAACTATCAATTGAAGTAAGAGGAAACCAAACACATTCTTCTCGCCTCTCTTTTGTTAATCAAGTTTTTTTTTTTAAAAAAAAAATTTATAAAAATCTTTAAGGTGATCATATAAACACACATTATATTTTCACGAATTTGTATTTTAAAATGGTTTACTAAGCAAGTACAACGTTTATCTAACAAAAGTAATCATATAACTAAAAATAATAAGTGTAACATTAAAGTTCTATATGCCTACTCCAAAGTTTCAACCATCGAAATAATGTTGAAAATGAACTTTTAATTTATTAAATTGATGTTACACATGTGTGCCACTACATGATCCACGAATTTTTCAGTAAAAAATGTAAAAATACAAATTAAGAAATAAGACACACCTTAAACCTTACTTATATAGTTAGCGATAATCTCCTTCATATAATTAGTAGTCTAATTTTGTAGATGCTTGTCCCTGTTCAAACCTCCTTTTAGGAAGCTATAAGAGCAGTTCGAGCAGAAGGGGTTGGGGGCGGGCTGGGCCAAAAAGCGTTTCCAGCAACAAAAAATTGCCCAGGCTGAGTGTGGGACCCAGCAACCTGGGCTGGTCCGAGGGCAAGGCTGACGTCAGCGTGTTTGACGCGCCCGCTACACTACCCCCAACGGCTAGCTTCCACGTGTCGGTGCCTAGGCTCTCCGATCTAATTTTTTCCTCCAATCCAACGGCAGACAATTTTTGTGCAATAAAAAATGAAAAAAAATCGAAATTTTTAAAAAAAAATACCCAAAAATTCTAAAATTGTCCATTTGCTCAACTAGTGTACAGATTACCTTATTTTCATTTTCAACATTTAAGTAAATGTCTTTGTCCTTTTACTTTTATTTATTTTTATATTACTCCATTTACTTAAGTTTACAATGTAAACAAGGAAGTACCCCCAATTTGAATTCAAATAAAAATACTAGAAAATCAAATTCCCACCAAATCAAAATATGAAAAATCGGTTTTAGTGCAAAATACGATTTAGGCTAAAAATGATGGCTCATTAAGTCAATATATACTTCATACTAAAATCCCATAAAATCAAGTTTTCTTATTTGATGTGTAAGGAACAAAAGCCGCCAAAAATTATCTTGAGAAAATGATTATGTCGAAAAATAATTTTTCATACTTAGTCAATATTGCACCTCTGCTAAAAAAAATTTGGGTCCGCCAGTGCACGTAGGAACCCAAAAATCTAATCCGAAAATATTGTCCAAATTAATTATTTAGGTAAACAAATTTGTGAAAAAAACAAAAAAATGAATAGTATTTGTCATTTGCCATGACAATTATTGGAAACCAACATTGCTTTTTGCAATGACAGCAACTATTCATGTGAATAGTGGCTGCCCTAGGCCCCCTACCATGGCAAGGGGCAACTACTGGAACTGCTCTAAGAAGCCTCACAAGGTGTGACAACTATTTAAATACCATTATATATATATATATAAAGATTTATTTAAATTTAGAAAAAGATATGCCAAAGGATACAACTTGCAACCTTTTCAACATCTAGAACATCAAGCTTTTCAAATAAGGTCAGAACCTGCACCGCACTTAGGGTATATAGTATATGTGGGTCATGCCCAATGTTACCACCAAACCCACCTGCATAAACAAAGCTGTATATCATCATTGCCTCTACAACTCAAAATCACCATACAAAGTACAACAAACCCGAGCTGGTCATCTATAGCAAAAAGTAATCATATAACTAACAACAATATTTGTAACATTTCAAAAAGTAACACCATAAAATGCAGGTACTCCATACGATATTTAAAGTCCAGTATGCATGCTCAAAAAGATTCCACGATCGAAATAATGTGGAAAATAAATTTTAAATTTATTGAATTAATGTTACAGGCATGCCACTACATGATCCACGAAACTTTCAGTAGAAAAATGAAAAGTACAAATTAAGAAATAAGACGCACCTTAAAACCTAACTTATAAACCTTTGGCTGTTATGCTTAAGTATGTGTTTTACGACATCAATTTTCAATTTGCAAACCAAAAAAAAAAAAAACATGATAAGCTCAATGTCAGATTACAAGTTGGAACTGTGCAGCTCAAATATCTTTGTTCTTTAGCAATACTTTAATATGAGAAATACGGACATATGACTGGACGAATAACTACGATGCCGACACGTGTCCACGACAGGTAGGTGGGACTCCGTCTTTTTTGTACCTTTTATGCGTTTGTTTAGAATTTTCGCTTCCGGATGCTTCGAAACACCAATACAATTAATAAAATCCTATTAGATGGGATTTTCAGTGATCGCGAGGTTAGCGGATACGTGTCGGGGTTTTATTGGCCCACGGAGGCATACTTATAATACCTTAGTTTTCGTGTGCTCGTAGGTGATTTCCGTAGATGCAGTTGCTGTCCCAACACGTGTCCCCAGTCTCGAGACTAGAACAAGTTCTTATGGGCGCCGTTGGGTTGCCTACACCGTCGACCGACTGGTTTTGCAAACGGCTCACAAATAGCTGCAGCTCGCCGAGTTGACATGGAGCCATTTTCTATGTATTGTTTTCTTTTTCTCTTTAATTCCCATTTTTAATATTGCAACTTAAAAACTATGCTCAATTCCTACATACATATTCTGAAAAGGGGTTTTTTTGTCCGAGCAAAAAAAAAATATTTATGAAAAGGGTTTTTTGCGGTTTTGCCCCTTGAACTATTTCACTATTGTATTTACTCCATAATCAATTTTTTTGGTAAATTAAGTACCCAAATTTTTTTAAAATAGCCAATTTAGGGCCTACCGTCTGATTTTTAAGGATTCCATCCAAATTTCTGTTAAATTAAGGGTAAATTCGTAACGTTGCAGAAAATTAAAATTATACCTTATTAAAATATCAAATAATTGTATTGAAAAGTTTTTTAAAAATCTGAAAAGAAGAAAAGAAAAAACCCCACCACCATTAGCCATCCCAACACCTCTATTCTCAATTTTTTTTTTTACCCATAAGAACTTATAAGTATTCTTCCAAACGCTATCAAAAACGCTTATAATTGTCAAAAGGGACTAAATGCTTTTAGTTGTTAGAAAGAGTTTTTAGACATTTCAAAAACAATCCCAAATATAAAGAGAACATTTATGGAAAATTGGGCTATATGTGTAGGAATAATGAGAAGTGCATGAATACACATGAGCTATACTGTGGATCTGATAGTTTCCAAAGAAGATGGATTGGTCGAATATTTATCTCTTGTTACATAAGTTGACAAATTTCTTGTGAAACATGATTGTTTCTCGTAAATGTATAATTCTAAAGTTACCATATTCTAAATATGTAACATGTTACATGAATACTATATCATTCTTATTCTTCATGCATTATTTAGTTTTAATTTAGTGGTACTTCTGTATCCTCTATTAGAATATGTTCCAAGTTTGAATCTCCATCCCTATTGAAAAAGGAAAAAAAAAAAAGTACTAGTAAAGTATTTATAGTATTTTTTTTTAATTTAGAAAAAAATTTCATCCATCCTTACTTGGAAAGTGAGTAGTATTTTTCGTGTTAGTGTCAACCTGTTTTTCTCTATCTACCATATTTTTACAGCCCTATTTAGAGGCTATGATTGAGGATGCCCCAATAATGTATCCTTCTACCATCATGTCGAGTGGCAATCGAGTTGTGCAATGTTGTATCCATCCGTGTTTTATCACTTTTGTTTTTGTTTCTTTTTGTATTGAATTCAAAAAAGAAAAACAAGTTGTAATTTGAAGATAATAAAAAAAGTACATTGTATAACGTCAATGCCTACGCACGCATCAGACTTCAAGGCTGGCTGAGGAGCTGCTTGTTTTTGGCCAAAGCAGCAGCCAGCGAGCGACCAAATTATATGTCTCAAGTTTCAAAAAAACCCGACTTGGGTGAGAATCCGAAACCCTAGATTTTCTTCTTCTCCCTTCCACCATTATTTAATTAATTTAATTAATTTAATGGAGAATCAGCAAATGGAAGAAAAAGAGAAGAGCCTGGATTGATCGATGACGTGTTAGATCAAGTGGGGGCATCGCAGCCTCTCTCTCTTCCTCCATAGCCCCCACCAAACTCTCCATAGCCCCCACCATCTCTCTCAGTCCTCCCCCACATCATTTCCCCTTTCTTTTTTTATTCTTTTCCTTCTCAGATATTTTCTCTCTCTCTTCTTCTCTCTCTCTCTAAATTCTCTCATGAGCTTCTTCTTTCTTCTTCGTCAGGCATACGCTCTCTACCTTGTCTCCTCCACCATTGAAGCAGATCTCCTCATCTTCATCTCTTCCCTCAGTTCGTCTCCGTTTCTTCCATGGACGCCACCGACCTTGAAATTTCCTCTCATCCTTGCGTCTCTCAGGCTGCATTCTCCTTCTTTTGCTCTATTCTATTGCCTCTACCGCTTCCGAGCTCCCAATTTTGCTGCTTCAGGACGGAGTATCCGTTTCGTCTTTGAGCTAATGGTTTGTTTGGCTGCCGAGAAAATTTTGAGAAATTATAAGCGTAAACGGAGATGTAACTGAGAATCGTGTAATTATGGACTTATCGCATGCCCTACGCGGCTAAAAGTCGTAAGTGTCATGCTTTTCTTTCATTTCTGATGATTTCTAGCGCACTCAAATGTTGCATTGAGCTCTTTTTTCAATACTTATGTTGCAAAATTTGCAAATATATGGCCAGTGAGACTGGTTTGCAATTGTACTTACAGCAGTTTATGTTTTTTGTTCTTGGAATGTTGATTTTCAGGAAATAATGAAGGACGGTGATTTTGTTTTGGAGACGCGTACTTGTGCTCTCAAATCAGGTACAAGCTACTACTTCTTGTCATGCCTTTATTTTGATTGGGATATTTTCATTCTATTCTTGCCGTAAATTGTACAGTACTCACTACAAATCGCTTTTAACTTGGCTGTCTCAGTACTGTTTTGATGACTTTTTAACTTTACTTTAAACTTTACCTTGTTAAATGCACCCGCTTTTTTTTTTCATATCTATGTGAAATTCACGTTATGTGTTCCATGTTTCTGTTCTAATTAGTTTTTTTTAACTTTTAATTGGATGGTGTTTGTGGTTGATACATTATATTTCTGACAAATCGAACTCAAAAATTTCTGTTTTATTCATGATATGCTTATAAGTATGCGTTAGTAGTATATACAGTCTTGTACAAGCACCAACGTAGCTTATATAGTATATTAGTACAAGAGCTTTATGGGGTTAACCCATGACCAATTACAAGCCTCTTTGTTATTGGGTCAATGGATCAAGATGTGTTCCTTTGCTCTTCTTAGGTTATGTTATCGTTTTAATCTCACTACATCATTAAGTGTGTTTTTTCTGATATAGTAGATTGAATTAAATTCATGTTTGGTACATTAGGAATGTACAATTTGTACAATCATATGTTTATACTACAATATGAACATACAACCGTTATTAATAGTTGTCAATGCGTTATGAATTTGCATTCATAATCTAAATTCTTGAATAATGTTACGGATGTACATTCTAAATGTGCGTTTCTTAATGAATATAGTTATTGGAATAGGCATATAATAAGCCCTTTTGTAGCCTTGAGGACACATGCGGCTTTTCATATTTCTTAATAAAACTTTTCAGATAGTTGCAAGTGTATGTGAAGTCTTTCACTTGGGGAGAAGACTGATAATGATTAGTGACTTGAAAATGTGCTCATTTTTCTTTGTATGTGTTTGCATTGTACAAATGGTGGATTTTAGGGATCAAAAAGTTTTTTAAAGTTCAACTAAAGTTTGGTTGGTGGTTATCAAGATATGTCGTGGAGCATGATAGTTTGTGCAGATGGGAGGTAGGAAAAAAAAATGGAGATGATTTTGGTAGTTAGTGTGCGGTTAGATAACAATCATAACATAGTAAAAGTTTATGGAAGTAAAGATGCAAATAAACTGAGTCGACCCCTTGTCAATTTGTATTTACTATGTTCGTATTCCCTTTTATCGAGCTTGAATCAAGCTTATCTAGATTGGCATTCTAAAAATTGGCAAGCTTTACATTAATGAATGAACTTGTAAATTGAGTTATGCTAGAGCTTAAGCTTGAGCTTGATCCTTACAAATGAAGACCTAATAATTATTAGTACCTAAAATATGAAACTATTCTTTTAAATTAAAAGCAATAAAAGTACTTAAGTATGTTTTTTTTAATATACATTTCATTTCTTAAGGCCCCATTCAAGTGTTTATTGGAACATGATAACCAAAAAGACCTTTTATTCTTGTTCCAATATTTTGTTCGTGTAGTACTATGAATTAAAATTTCCTTTTTTTTTTAATAAACAATATCCTTTTAAAAAAGAGTAATACTACAGACACCAACTTACGGCACCAATTTTTGGACACCAATGATGTGGCAATATTTCATTTGTTTTCATTCTGAGCCCACTATGAGCCTTACTTATCCACAACAAATAAGAAATTGCCACATCAGTTGGTGTCTCAAATATTATTGTAAAAAAAAGAAAAAGAAAAACCCATAATTTTGTAGGAAAAAATGGCATTTTTAATAAATCATATGGGGGTAGTTTAGTCATAAAAACACAAAAATTGCATTTATGAGAAATGTGAGAATGTGAGAATGTGAAGGTGAAAATGTCCCACATTGGAAAACTAACAAAACTTAAAAGGGCTTATCAGGAGTTGGGCTACGCCTCCTATTGCCAATTGGTTTTGGGGTGGAACCTGAACTTCCTTCATGGTATCAGAGCGGGTTTGCGCACGTGTGAAGCCCAACGGCCACACGTGCTCCACGTCACCCAATATGTGTTGTCCACATGTTAGGCTTGAAAATTTGGCACATGTGCGAGGGCCTGTGAAAATCCTAAGGTATCCTCTAATAGTGCAAGCATAAGTTGACATTTGGATTCGTAGACCTTACTTAAGTACCATATATTTTCCCAATGCATGCATGATGGAGTCTTCAAGGTATCACAATCTCCCTTCCTTTAGGCCTTGGTACCCTTATCAATATGGGAAACATACATAGAACATATATTAGTGGACGAGCCTATTTGATGTTGTATGCACTCAATTACCTGCTTTTGAATCTATGCTACCTTTTAGCATTGGGGTACGACGCCCTTTCCGTCAATGGGAGGGTGCCTTCCTTACGTAGGCAATGGACTAGGTGGCTCTAATACTATCTAAGGCCTCGTAAGAAAGTAGTAGTTTAAGTTAACATTTGGATTGATAAGCCTATCTTAATCAACTTAGATCTTGGAAACGCATAGCCAATGTAGGATTCAGAGTATACACAAGGCTTCCTCCAAAGTATCCTAAGTCTCCTCAACAAATTGCCAATATACAATTTAGGGGTATCGTAATCTCCTCTCCTCTAGGCCTTCGCATCCTCATAAAAAATGACCACATAATGGACAAGTATTTTCTATATGAGATGCAATCATTGGCCAGCCTACGAATCAATGATACCTAGTATCCCCTTGCCAGTTGTGAAAACTTTGGTTATTGGGACACAATTACTTACTTTCCTTTACATCCACATTACCCCATAGAGCATGGGGGCATCATCCCTTCCCTCACTTGCAAGAGTCGTCATAATAACAATGAACCCTTGGTTGGAAATAGGCAATGGACGGGGTTGCTCCAATACATTTTGCAACGATCCAAAGCCTTCTCCAAAAGTGCTAGGTCAAGTTGACATTTGGATTCGCAGGCTTTGCTTGATACTTAAGTACTCTAGATTTCCTTATCACATTGCCAAGGTGGGATTCAAGGGTATCTTGTAACAACAACCCAGGGCCCTCCTCAAAAAGTGCTAGCCCAAGTAGACATTTGGTTTCATATCCCTTACTTAAATACCCTAGACTTCCCTAATACATAGACGCTGTTAGATTTCAGTGTATCACAGGCTTTCTCAATAGGGAGCTCAGGTAAATTAGTTTAGCACATCACAAACCATTCCTAGACCAACATGAACTCCACCTGCACCACAGAATTCCAATTAAAGTTACTTTCCATACCTAGATGGATCTTTCTCCCTAATAATAAGGGATCAGCGCAAATTATTGGCTAAGATCTCCGCATCCAATTTTTTTGTACTAAGGACTTTCCATTCCCAAAGATTTCGGTCATTCTAAACAATCTTTGCAGTATGAATCTTTCCTCTTCCTCACTTTGCAGTGGTATGCAAGTTATTGCTCACAAACCCTTGCCTTTGCACATTCGTTCTCTTTCTTTTTGAAGCAGTTTCAATGATTATGAGCATTGGAGTCCTTGGTGGTCACTACAGTGTCCCCCTAACTCCGGTGATTTCCTTATTCTTTCTGCAGAGGTTAGAACAGCTATTTTCCTTGTGGAAGATTTGAGATCCCAGAGTCCTATTTAGTCTTGCCAAATGCAGCAAATGCTTACAATTTTGTTGATTTCATTGTCTTTTGCCTGCTACTATCTCAATGATTTTTCTTTTCTTAAACCATGTTCTATTGTTTTCTTTTGTCCTTGAAAGTACTATTTTTGTTTCGAGAAGTGACTCATTTATACTATTAACAATTGTATTCTTTAATGCGTGTTTTGCTCCTCTTGAAATAGGCATTCAGGTATTGTGCATATTACCAGATTTTGGGGGTTTGTTTTTTCATACGGAGCTGTTATTGGCACTCCAAAAAAGTGATCCCACTCCTCCTTTGTAAAAACAAAAGGAAGGAGTGCAGAATGACTTATTGGGGTGCCAACAGTTTCTTTTCTATATTTTCATTATATCAAGATTGAGTTTTGGAGTTATGCTTGAGAAACCTAAAACTATTGTCATTCTTTTCCCTATACTTTTAATGTATTGGTTTGATAAGATTTGAGTTGCATATTATTTTAAACTTCAAATTATGGATTATTGAAGCATGTCAAGTTCTTTCTTTCTATTCATTGCATAAAGTCAAATATGCTACTCAACATAAGTTTTATCTTCTGTTTGGAGATTTGCAATGACTAAAACATATCTGGAAGATTTTTTAATATCTGAAACAGATGATCTCAACATTCTTCCCCCTCTTCTTAAAGACTTTTTTAGAACACAGATTTATCTTGAAAGTACTACTACGCTTCATCTCATTGAAGGGCAGAGAAAGGTTAGATTTATCTCTAAAGTTTTGAATAAAATAAAATAAAATTTATCTCTAAAGTAAATAAAACCTTTTAAGTATTTAAGAAGAATGAAATGGTTCAGAATCAGAAGACCCTGATTTTTTGTTTGAACATGTTTTCGTGTTTAAGACATGCTGAGAAGGAACCTTTCTTTGCAAGCTATGCCAGGTAGGCCTTAGTTGTTGATACCTGATCCTCAAGTTCATAAAATACCTGATCTCATGAATATTGTTTTCCCAGCTTACCAAAAGTTGATTCTCAAATGTGGCATATGTGATCTTCCCTCTCGAATAGGATATCTTCCGTATCTGTGGCAGTATGTAAGACTTCCAACATGGTATTGCATGTCTCTGCTCAAATTGCAATTCCTGTTGCAAGTTATTTGGTGTCTGATACAAATTTGGAAACCATAATTCTGAACACATGAATCTGATTGTGGTAATCTTAATTAGATTTATGTTGTTTATGTAAGTAAATACCGTAGAGTGGCTTTGGATTGTCTGGTGTCTGCAAGCTAGGCATGCATAGAGTCTTCTAGTCCAAACTTAATATAAGAAGAATTACTGTGTAATGGTCCTGGAGCCTTAATATTTATGGATTGCGCTGCATTTGATAAATGAAACATTGTACTCACAAATTCTATGTTTGTTTCAATCAAAGTTGGTCCGGGATCAACATTTGATGGTAACTAGCATTAATGAGTTTTACTTCCATTCGACCATGCATGATTTTTTTCCCAGCTGATAACTTAAAATTTGAATCCATTTCATTTGACTAGTCCCAGAGAAAATTTATTATATAAAAGAATTTTGCATATTGTCATACCTACCTGTATGATATCTGCGGTGGTTCAAGTGCGGGGAATCTTCTAGGTCTCGCTCTCTCTATTTTTCTGTAATATATATTATTTGTAGCACTATCCTCTGTCTGCACACAAAATATATAGTATATTATAAAGAAAACTGTCAATGACCTGATAACCCTTAGTGTGCGTGCTTAACCCTCTATTATTTCCATGCAGGAAATTATATTGCAATAAGGACATGAAATTGCTCTTGATGCTGTCTATGTAAATCAAATTGCGTGAACAAGGAGGTAAGTACCTCATATACCATTTTGTGAAATACAATACTTGGGTGGACTGAACTTGAATGCAGTTAAGCTGAGATGATTCAACAGTTTTGCTTCTTTCTCTTTATATTTTCATCTTTTTTAAAGCAACTGCTGGACTTGATATTTTTTGTTGAACAAATTGATAACCTGCGTATAAAAATTCCACCATATTTTCCAATACGAGTGCAAATGTCAGCCTTCAGAGCAAGTTTGCTTATTTCATGGACGCAGACAGACTTAGTGATTTTAAAAGCTGCATTGCACCTGAAGTGCAATTCAGTTATTCTTTATTATATATAAATCTCATCTTTACATATGTAGTTGGTTTCTTTGATTGTCACACACACATCAAAGCATTGTTTGCTTTTAAATCAAGGTCCTTTTCTGATTGTTCTGCGGTTCTTTTACCACATTCCTCTTATAGAACATAAATTTGTATCCATCAACCTTGTTCTTGATAGAAATCAAGTAACGTCTTCCTAAACTGATGCATCCTCTTTGCTAATGTAGTTGTAGTCTGCAGTAGTCATCATGGAAACAATTTAATCAACATTTGGCAAATTAAAAATGGTAATCATAATAGATGATGGAGTTTTTAGGAAGGGAGGTATACCCCAGCTTTGTAGCTCTTGCTGGTGTCTCGCAGTTTTGCTGCTGTGGCTGGCTAAGCTGGAGTTGGACAGGTCCATGTGAGTCCTCTCCAATACCTAGACCATTTGTCAGAAGGGAATTTCTGTTTGCTCCATTTACATCCCTTGTTCCATAAACCTGGGATGTGAAACTTTTCTGTTGAGGTGTTATTGAAAAAATGTTGCAATATGTTGTAGGTTGGCTTTTAGATTTTTTATCAGTCTTGTGAGGATAGTTGAAGTCTGTTTTAGTTATCAAAACCAGTACCTTCTTGTATAATTCCATGTTTTCTTGACGAGTTAGGTTTACCTTCTTATACAGCTCGACATTTTCTTGGTGAATGAGGTTCCCCTGCACACACACATTTAAATTTAGCTGCTTAAGTAATAAAGAGGAACATGCTGAATATGGTACCAAAGTTTCGCAAAGTTAACCTTTCTGTTTAGTTCTTGTATTTCATCCATTAAAAGTTGGTCCTACAAAAGTGAAAATTTTGATTTAGCACCATACACAAACATTTAAAGAGTTTATTTTCAAAGAATGAGTGATTGCTTAGAGAATGGCAGTGTCTTACCTTTTTCATTCGGACACCCCGAATACTCATTTCCAATTGGTTCTCCAGATTCTGTAAATCTTTAACACTGAGGCCAGAAAGCTCTTCACCCATCATTTGCCTGTAATCAATGAGAGGTAAACATTGTTTAGGCCCTAAACATGGATTTCGGACATCTTAAATCCAGTAGTGAGTTGGATTTATGAGATGCATAACAATTCTCTTCTGATGCTAAACATCTTTATTGGTTACACTGGTTGATTGTTTGGCTATACCTAATCCCGCTTTTTTGAGCTCTGGATTGTCCTCTTTAGGTAGGTTTAAATTACAGTATAGACTATCTTGAGGAGCATAAACATTGTCAATTACTTAGTGCAAATTCTGAAGCAAGCATGTGAAAAGTTGTCACTTCATCATGGTAATGTGTAAATCAATGTTAAAATTGTTTATTCTACCAGCATCATACAACAATTCTGTCATAACCTTTGGACTCTTGATATCATCTGGTTTGAAATCATGGAACATTCCATTTTGGCTCAATGCAGTATATATATATTTCTTTTGAAACAAAAAGATGAAATTTTATTTCGTAAGAGAAACTTTAAAGTAAAGTGATCAAGTAATCCACCAATAGCAGAAGAGAAAAGAACAATAATTCAACAATGTCTAGCTTAATAGTGAATATACTGCATTGGCAACACTTTGGGCTCAGCGCAGTATATACACTATTAAGAAATGACTCCACCTGCTTTGTTTATTAATTTGGTAGTATTTGAACCGTGAGCAGTTCTAGAATCATTTGATACATTTGTGAAGATAGATATGAGCTAAAGCATGTATGAGGTTTCTCTTGAGTTTACCTCAATACGACACCAAGTGATAGTGCTTTCAACGTAACTTGTGGATGTGAAGATTTCTTTGAAATAGAAAATCATTTCATGCATAAAGATAGGTTGATATGAAAATTTGATTTGTTCTGAAAATCTCAACTTTCGTTTTCTTTTTCTTTTTGGCATAAGTTCCCAAAATGTGATAGTAAACATAAATTTAGTGACAGTTTTTGATAAGTTGATGAGAATTTAATTTATTCTGATAATCTTAACTCTTTTCTTCTCTTTTATTTCTGATAGACTTTTGGTAAAAGTTCTCCAAATGTGATAGTGAAAGCATAATTAATATTGGTGTTTGATTAACATGGCTAGAGTTTTTTTTAATGAACATTTAATCTGTTTGCTTTTGACAGCAGTATGTGGATTTCTTTGCTGGTTCATTAAAAAAATTTGGGTTAAACTGCGCTCATTCGCTCTAATACCACACTTATTTGGCAGATAAAACCAATATTTATTAGAACTTACTCTCAGTATGGCCTTACGTCTTTATATGCCAACAGTGTGCCTACCTTAAAAACACTTGGTTGTGATAAAATTGGAATAGCACAAGTTTATGTCATAAAAGAAATTTGGAAAAGCAGAAAACTTTTTGTTATGAATTTCCGACAGCTAAGGTCTTTCATAATCAAGTATACAGCATAAGATGCCCTTCAATATCATAAAGCTGAACAACAATTGGCCCAAAAACAAAAATACTCAAACAACAAAAAAGAAAAACAGAAATTTATGATAACTTATTCTTATGTCTTTATCATTTTCAGATTGCATAAACTATTAGACAAAATTGTAAATAGATGTAGGAAGTTTATCAATAACATATGCAAAGTGCTGCAGACTTCATTGTGTCCCTATTCCTTAATAAAACCTTTTGTCATTTGGAATAAACTATTACTTCCTCTGCTAGTTTTGGCTTGTTAGTCCTCTACCTAGAACTGATGTTTTGGAATGAACTACCTTCTTTTGTAAACTCTAATGTACTTCCTTCTTAGGAACTTAATGTAGACTTGGTATCTCGTTTCCTTTTCTCTTAGATCTTACACAAATTTCATAAATAAGAAATTAACTTCCATAGTTGTTTGTTTTGGCAATCAAATTGATTCACTAATATGGCTATTCATGTTTTAATTTAATAGCATGATGTCATTTGCAAAGTTTGTGTAAATGTCTTTATTGATCACTGCTGGAAAGGGTGGGTTGGGACTTAATTCCAATTATTGATAAAGTCCTATTATTATTTTAAAAAACTGACCTAGTTTTTCCTCCTTTACAAGTCTTGCTTTTTTATCTATAGCTCACTGCTTAGAAACTATACTTCTGAATCCATGAAAACCATAAATGACCATTCCTTTTCTCTCTAAGCTCTTCCACTAGTCCCTTCAGTAAGAAGATAGCTTCTATAGTTGTTTGTTGTAGAATAAAAATCACATTTCTTCTCCCATGTTTTTTTTCATGCCTTTAGTTTATTATGTACATGCATACCAACACTGCCCCCACACTCCTTCCCTTTCCCCTCCAACCAAAGTGTTAGGTTATGACTGAAGATTTAACCCAAAATAGATAGTTTTACCCTAAGCTTCACCTTTGTTCTTTAAAATTAGGTAATTAGTCAAGTAATTATTATTATTGTATTTATAAGAAATGAAGACTTTATTAAAAGAAAGCCAATAAGGTGCGATTACAAATAGGATTGTATTTAGAAAGTGAGGCCATACCATATTGCTGAAGAATTTGCAACCTTCAATAGGGGTTCCATTAAGTTCAATTTGTTTCCCCTACATTCATCTTCTTCATTACCTCTTTAACCCAACTACTGTAAGTGTCCATTTGGTGCAGCTCTTGGCACAACTGAACAGCAGTTTCGCACCATATAAAGTGCTTTTTTGTCAATCTGTTTTTCCTATGAATTGTAGTGGTGAAAACGGAGTTTCTGGAGAATCTCAAATTCAAAGCTTCTCCCAAAAGATGGAAAAGAAAGAAATCTAATGTAGGAAACTAAATCACACTCAGGTCTGTTGAATGATCCAAACAATAAATAACTTCTAGATATTAGCACCTTCTGAAGCTTCTAAGAACAAAAATGTTGAAACATCAGGTATGCAATTGGTGATAGACTTAGATATCACACCTTTATGAATAGAGCAATGCTTTAGGAAATGAAGTTCCAGTGAAAATGGTGTTAGAACGTGCATGTTATCTTCTCACATGTAGACATCCTTATTGTATTCTGACTTTCTAATGTTTCATTTCTATTTGTGCTTCTATAGTGCTAGTGTTTCATGGTTAATATATGATACAATAAATTCGTGATAAAAAGGAAAATCATAATACCTATGGTTTTCCTGCAAGTTTTGAAGTTGTTGCCTCAACATTGCTGCCTCCCTTTGCCATAACTAGGAAGTAAAAAAAGACCACCTTTAGTCATAACTATCACAATGAACATATTTAACTGGAAATTGGCCACTTCAACATAATGGCAGCAATATATGTGAAAACAAGGTTCTTATTTGTATGATACATGGTCAGCATAAAGGTTTTGTTCATATACCAATGTAAACATGCAAGGTAAATCATGAGCTTATAATAAATGATCATAAACTACTTACTTGCAACATCTTTTGTATACAAGCATTAGCTACTACTTGAATTGTAACCTCTTTTATACCTGCATTATGCAGTTACATAATGTAACTCACATCGCGTGCTTGCATTTTAGTTCTCTAAAGTGATGGTACCATAAAGGAGAAATTGAGCTTAACATGACACTAGTTAGGGGTCCATTGCTAGTCTGTGAGCTAAAGGATCAAAGTCAGGTACGCGGCTGGAACTGAATTTTAATAGCATCCTGGTTACTTATAATTAGTAGAAATAGAAAATTGCAATGCACGGATGTTTCTATTGACAAGAACAGAAAATCTGTGGATATTGAAATTGTTGCCACGATTAGCATTTTGGCATATGATGCCTTTGTATGGATATAGAACTTGATTTATATGATCAAGGAGCAATGCGCTATTGTTTTCTTGCCCTAATTTCTTTTATTGGTTCCATTTACCCCCTATATGTACAGCTTTGTAGAGAGTTTTTTGGTCTAGAAAGGAAAAGTGGAACTGGAGAAATTCTCAGAGTGAGATTTTTAGTGCCTCTGGGATGAGTCTTACCAGCAGTTGCGTTCTGACCCTTGTTCAGAGCTCCATGCTTGAATTGAAATACCTCAAACTAAAAAGAGATTCCCGTGGAAATGGTGAACCGATTTCTTATTATTGAAACAACTTCACGAATGTGAGAGCAGACATATTTGACGCTTTGTCTTAGCAATAACATCTATTCCCATTGTTACTGAACTTGGGAGGTTAGCCATTCATCTTTGCTCCTCGATTCCACATCCTTTTTAGGATTAATGCCTGAACTTCCAGGAAATTGCAACTTTGTTGCTATGATCTATCAAGAAAAACGAGCTATCTTTTAATGGAATTATTTTGAAAGCTGTGCAGCTATAGGGGCTTTGTCTTTATGTCGCATGTGTGGTCTCTGGACTGATCTTTTCCTTCTGCAATTGCAAATGAAGGGCATCATGGATTTGGCGGATGAAACAGCATTAAATCTGAATTGACTTTGCCAATCTAGTCCGTCCATAGTCTTCCTGTCATCTTAGTCGTTTCTTTTAGGCGTATCATTGATGTGACAAGACGGAAGGAAAATAATCCAATTCTTGATCGACACAGTCATCAAGGTTGGATTGGTTCAAAACTATGATTTTAACTTTTGCTCATGAAGTAGACAATACAAATAGATTGGCAACTATTATACATGGAAGTCCTTTGCTATCACAGTTTTCTTTCTGTGACATGCAAATCACTTTATCATTTAAGTGGTGAACTTTAATCAACTAGTTGGAAGAAGGAATAAGTGGTTTGAAATTATATGCTCCTGTGTGTTATTTCTGTGACAGTAGAGAAACAAAACTTGCTTGCGAGCAATGACATAAACAATGGTGAAATCTGGATTTTTAATTCAAAAAATCTTTCTAAATGCGTCCTATTTTGGACAGTCGTTGTAGCCTGTACAAAATGGATTCTGAGAGGACTACTTTGACAGTTTATGTTTCTACTTTTTAATAGTATCTTCTTAAATGTGTACTAAGATTTTTTTTCTTCTCATATTCTTTTACCTTGTTGCTAACTCATTATTCACTGCGAAGCAGCTGATGATTTTATTGTGAACACCATATTTCAGCACTTCTGATTGAAAATGTACTTCTGCTAAATACAACACTTTTGATAGGCTAATGTACTTGTGCAATTGTATGGCTTCATTATGGTTATTAATAATATTTTCTATTTATTTCTTAGGATGGATGAGGTTTCAATTTCATTCGAGTGTATAGACATAATTTATGAGCAATGAAGTTTGTATGTCTAGGTAGGAAGGTAATATGAAAATTGCCACCGACATAATATTGTGAGTGAAAGCCATAAAACTGGTGCATTCCAATACCACCAAAGGAGACCACTTGGGCCATTATATGGAGGCTGCTCAGATGATATGTGTTCCAACTTCCAACTTCGAACATACAACCATGATTTCAGGTTGTGTTTGGAGAATGGTGTTTCTTTTTAAATTTAGTTTATGTATTTTTCTAAATTGTGGTTTGGAAAAGTTTAAGTATCATATTTCATGGTTATGAGTTATTTTGAATGTGTTTTTCCTGAAAAAGCAGCCGTCGTTGAGACAGTATAAGCTAGAACTATCAATATTTCTTTTATCCACCTTTGGAAACTGACTGAAACGCAATTCCAGTGCTCCTTGGCAGTCCTACAAGTTTTTGGAAGTGGCTGCTGCACCGTATTATATTTACTTACTAACATCTTAATGCGTTCTGCCTATTTGATTTCTTGATGTAATCCAACCATGCAGTCATCCTTTCTCCCAACGTCCCTTTCTTCTGAAAGTTTGGGATGTCCTATTGTTTTCATTTTTAATTTCATTATTTTCTCAAATATTTTCTAAATTTATTCAATAATTTGGTTTATTTTATTCAGAATCATTAAATTTATAGAATGAGATATATATGTATATGTGTGTGTGTGTCTGAGTCGATGCGTATTTTGCTGTATGATTTCATGATTGGTTTATCATGTCAGATAATCTATTTGTCATTACTGAACAGCACATTGAAGACTCATATTTTAAATACGCCTTGAAGATAAACTATTAAAGAAAAAAATGCAGGACTCGGAACTGAAGAATACCTTAATTTCAGAAGTCGGATTCCCAAATTGATGGTGCTCCTCTTTCGCCTTGTTGTATCGTTCAATTACTGATTTTATGCTGGTAAAGAAGATTCAGTTTTATCAGAAACACTCTTTGCTTTTGGTTAACTTGGTACAAAAAAATTAGGAATGTATTTTCAAGAAGCTGCACACGGACATGTAACAAAAGAAAACCAACATATTGTGATAACATTTTAGACTATAAACTGTTAATCTACTCCCCCGAAATAATATATCTTGTAAGCTGTGATATCTGATAAATCTATGGTTTTCAGATGTTCAAGCAGACATTGTTTGAAGTAGGGAACTAGAGATAAGTATCTGTTTCCCTTCCTAACTTGTTTTAGCCAATCAACTTTCTAAACTCTAAATTCAGTTTCTTCAAGAATTGGGACCATTAGACATAACTGAATATGTGACATAAGAACTACAAATATAAAAAATTTAACAACTCTGTATTTCCCTCCTTTTTTTCCCCTTGTAAGTTAGCTGCTATATGATTTCATACTAACTTGTTTCAGTCATTTGCATATCAAGTATTGCTGATACATAACAAGAATAAAGCCTGTCTTTGGAACTGCATATTTATCAATGATCAAGAGCTTTGCTTTCATGTTTTCTGACCTATGTTCTACAAGAGCTTGTCCAGTTACTAATGTCAGTTCAATCGATACAGCTGCGTGGCACTTTAGAGTTGAATGGGAACTTCTAGAGTAGGTATTATTGCAGTGGATTGAATCAGTACAGAGGTGGGAACTGAGTTTGGAAGTGTCTCTATGACTGTCTGTTAGTAAATTCTTAAAACTAGATTCTAACAGCTGACTAAAATTATTCTGGACGAGGCTGATAATAGCAGGGTGATGATATCGTAAAGGATTTATGGCTTGGATTGTGATTCTGAAAATGATGATGAGGAGGAAGAGAACGAGGCTGTAGGCAAATGTTGTTGGAGAGGAATATTCTGCCCATATTTTTGTTTGCACCTGTGTCTGCAGTTTCTATATTGATTCCGAACGGGCTCATCAGTTTTCAACTATATTGCTTTTCTACATGCTGCAGTTTCAACAAAAATAGCAGTGGAAGTTTATCAGGTTAAAGTGTTTGCTTCTTAAGTCAACGACATGATTTTTTATTCATATCAGCATACATATCTAGCAACATAAATATTTATTTGTTAGACCCGCATTCGAGGGGGCTAATGATTGAACCCTTTCTCTTTTTATGTTTTTGGAGGATCATTCATACAAAAAATCAACTAGAGTAATTTTTTAGCCATTTGATTACAACCAACATCATTTCAACGTTAAAGTTGCAGCTGATAGAAGCACTGTGCTTTAGATAGTTGTAAGCATCATGTTGGTCATGTTGGTCAACGGACCTCTACTAGTCGACTGACATCAAAATTAAGAAGAAATGTAGACTTTAATATCAGAATAAGATAATTCTTGTAACTATCATATATAAAACACATTTGTTTTAAGGCTATATGGTTGGTTGATCAAAATATTCTAAGGTTGAAAGATAAGAACAAAATATTGTATGAGTGAACTTTAATATGAGGCATTGGTAAATTCATGACATGGATGTATATGATGAAAACTTCAAAGGATGGGTACATGGGTATGTTTAAGTGTGTTTGGGGCAACTTGGAGACTCAAGTAAATTACAATTGAAGATGGAGTCAGGAGGAAGTCAGGATGATCAAAATTCGGACAAGACTGTATTTTAGACCCAGGTTTGGGCTTAAGAGATAAAACTCAGATAAATTTCTTTCTTGGCTAGACATAGGAATAGGGTGCTTTTTGTGTGTAGGTAGTTTGAATATCACGCAATTTCATGACATGTATGTATTTATAAGAAAACGTCGAAGGTTAAGGGGGCACGGGTGTGCTTAGCTTTGACATCCGTGTCTAGAGCAACATGGAGACTCAAGTGCATCAAGATTGAAGGTGTGAGTCAAAGATTAAGATTAGGACAAGACATTGCCGTGTTGTAAGAGTAGTTCAAGTCTAGATTAGGGTTACACATGAGAGTAGGCTCTAGGTGTGGATAGATATTTTGAACTTGATGGACATTAGGAGAGGATTTTTATTTTTATTTTTTTGGGGTCAAATGGTAGAGAGATTGCATTCATAAATTACGCCACGAGAGCAATACAAATACAATAGCTAAAAGGGCCACTAGAATTACCCACAAAGGGGTTACAACCACTACCCACAAAGAGGTTATAACCAATACGAAGTGATCCAACTACAACATTAAACTCATATAGTATACCTTCCCTTAAAGACACACATGACCAAAGACAATCCAGCATAAAAGCATCTCTAGAAAAACCAAACATGCATCAAACTCGAAAGAGTTGATGCTCTTATTCAACATCAAATAACTCACACCAAACAAAACCAACCCAAACCCACAACCTTGGGAAAAGGCAGACTCAAACAAAAACAAAAAACCTTTGCCGCTACCACAGTTGCTGCCACAACAGTGGAAACAGAGTAAACACCACTGAAACTGCTGCAACACAAGAACCTACAATAATAATAAAAACCAAACGAACAAAAACCCCAAAAATTCAGAGAGAGAGAGAGAGAGAGGTTGAAAGGGAAGAGGAGAAAAGAGGAAGGGAAAGGGTAAATAGGAGAAGAGAGGAGGAGCATAGACCACTTCCCCCTTTGTTGCGACACTGAAGGGATGCTCATCTGATTCTTCTTACTTAGGATAGGGTTTATTGGATCAAGCGTAGGATTAGTTAAGACTTGAGTCGATGCATTGTTGAATCAGAAAAAACCATGGTCGGAAGTTTTCAAGAGATCAACTGTCACAATATTGTAGAGGTTGATCAAGAAAGAAAAGTCCCAATTTGTTGACAAATTGGATTAGTATATTGAAAGAGCTTGATCTTGATCAGACCCCCTGGATGAAACATAAGACCTAGAAGATTAGGTCATGTTTGGTGTCTACGATTGTATTGTATTGGATGACTCACGCGATTTAAGGTAGGTTGAAGAAATGGTGGCCAACTTCCAAACTTTGTTCAAGTTGAAGTTAGAAGATGGATTAGTCATTAAGGAAACTTTTCCTTAAATCTAGTGATGTGAGCGACATGTGCTGACAAAGTGCAAAGGTAAAATATACGTTTTGGATTAGTCAATATGTAAAATATACAATTTGGATTAGTCAATATGTACATTTTCGCTCCCTCATTTGACATTTTTAAAGAGTTGGAGATGATTCCCAAAACCATTTGGTGAGTTGGACCATATGGTATATATGATTCAAAATCCCAGTCAATGTTTGGTGGCTTAAAGCAACCTAAATTAGATTATGTCTAATTTTACTAAGCCCAAATGTAATAGGCTTATGAATTCCACCAAAAAGTTGGGGCTAAATTTGGATTGGATTATATCTATATTGATGGGTTATAATGAGGGGGGTTCAATCCAACAGTCCAATAACAACTATACACTTGATCGGACGACTATTAAGGACTAGAAATTCTATCAAGAATGGTCAACTTTAAATAGTTTTATAATTACAGTGAACTTAATTTTTATAGGAAAATATATATAAAATTCATTATAATAATTAAATTTCAAATTCACAAATTTAATATTTTAGTTAGTATAACCCAAATTCTAGCAACCTAAAAATAATGAAAGAGTATTAAAAGTTGATTTTAGATAGAATGAGAAAATCAAATAAAATCTATGACACACATATAAATGACATATGAAGACATGAAAACAAATATAGATCATATTCATGTTTATTGTAGACAATTTACATCTGTGAGAAGGGTCATACATATAAATGACACACATATATATGCTAGGGAGACCAACTTTAGATACCAACTCTCTAATAGAGCGTGGGATCCATTGTATTGGTGGGCTCCACCTCTATTAGAGAGTTGGTACACAAGTTGGTATCTAAAGTTGGTCTCCCTAACATTTTTCATATAGTAAATATAGCTATAAAACAACTTGGATAACATCGATAAATATAATATTTTCAAAATGTTGAGAAGGGTCAAGTGACCCTTATGGGCCTTAATTGGCTCTGTCAATGCCCTCATAACCCCTTACTAATGACCCTTAATTATAGCCTTCGTGTTATATATAAGAGCAATGCTAGGCATACCATCTTGTATACCGCCTCTCTAATAGAGGTGGAGCCCACCAATACAATGGAGTCCACCTCTATTAGAAAAGTGGTACACAATGTGGTATGACTAGCATTTTTGTATATGTAATCTTGCTAAGCCATGTAATAGCATATTTATGTTAATCTAATCTCTTAATCATGTGTTACCAAACACATCAGTGCATGAGTGTTATTATATCCAATCTAATCCAATCTAATTTTACATCATAATCTAATCCAATTCCAATCACCAAATATGAACTATAAGTAACATTTGACATGAAAACTTATGGTAACTACATTTTACTCAGACTTCGAATCAATGAACTCTCGCCATTCACCTCACTTTTAATTTTTTTCCCCTACTGTAACATACACTCATATTGCATATCTATCGTGTGATCATTTTAGCATTTTATACAAATAAACAATTAATAAGGTCACTTAGGAGGAGGGATGTATGGACCAGCAAATCTATCTCCTTTTGGATTTGTAGCATACACAAGTGACAAGTGGCATTCAAAATTCCATGCACGGTATAAAGTATGGTACATGCACGCCAATGTCAAAATAGAGTTTGTCTACTTATGGATCTTCGGAAGAGAACAAATATTCAAAGTTCTAAGAGAATTTTTTTTATTTTACTTTATTAATGCGGTGTAATAAACTTTTCTAAAGGGCTTGGAAGGTGGCAAATAATATCAAGTCTAACATAAAAACTACTTGTAATACGTACGATAATCATAAAAGCAAACCCAAACCTAAACCTCAAACCCAAATCCCAAGTTCCAAACTTCAAACCCCAAAATCTAGAGCTTAAAATCCAAACCCCAATTCCTTATTTGGTTTCAGGCTAAACATGTTGAAGTTTGACTCATTATAGATGCGGAGAAGAAGAGGAAACAAAAGGCTGCAAGGAGGAGCAGCGGGAAGAGGAGAAGAAGTCGCAACAAGAGGAGTTACAGTGCAAGTGACCGGTCGGTTTTAGCTAAGAGCTCAAGGTTGTTTTTTGCTTCAAACGACCGATTGTCACGTGAACAGTGCTGAACGCAGTTTTGACATTTTGGTGTGTTTCAACGTGGTTTCCTATTATTTTGGGAATTTCTAGCCTAATTTAATAGATTAATAGAGTTTTAGTTTCCTATTCCGAGTTAACTTGTAACTAAAGTCCTATGCATTATAAATAGGACTTTTAGGGGTATGTTAAAAGTAAGAGAGGAGAATTCAAGTGTGAAAATTTTCAAGAGAGAAACAAAAGAGAGAATTCAAGGGTGAATTCTTGAGTGTTTACAAGGGCATCAAAAGGTTTGAGGGAAAGTAAGACCTAGGTTTTGAGAGGAAAGAGAGCAAAAGGGGTTCTTGTTGTAACCAAAGTGGTTCCTATTGTTCTAGTGAAATTTCTCAAGGTGATCACCAAAAAGGACGTATGCATGAGGTCGAACCTCTATAAATCTCTGTGTTCTTGTGTGTTTGCTTACTTTCTTTGTGGTGTGCGTGTGTTTTATTCTCAAGGGGTATGTGTGAATGTGCGTCGCATAGTCCATCAATGACAAGGTCATAGAGTGTTTCCGCACAACAAAGCAGCCGAACAAAAATGTGTCCATGTGGATACTAGATCCCTCCCCATATGGTGGACATTAGGTAGGGATTGTCCTACTGGTCATCCTACTGGGACAAGGGCCTAATGTGACAATTAAGAATTTGGCATGGGATAGGAATCAGTTCATTTTAGGGTTTATAGGGGTCAGTAAGCAGTATGTCCATTAACAAGTTTCTTCTAATCACTCTTCCTTCTCTTTGTATCACAATACAACAATGATTCATATACAAATTTTATGGCTTTTTCATACTTCTAAGTAATTCTTAGTATTCTAATACACATTATATTATAATTTTTTGATTTAATTACATAAAACTATCCAATCTTTGGGGGTCATTTCAAATTAGTGCCCAACCTTGAAAATCTTGCAAGTAGATACCCTAACCTCACGAAAAACATACAAATTAGTTAAGAGATTGACTACTAGTCCAACTAACAGAGGGTCTACTTTTATGTTTTTTTGTGAGGTTGGGTATTGCGTGTAAGATTTTCAAGGTTGAACGACCCCCAAAAGTTGGATAATTTTATGTAGTTAACCTGTTTTTTTATTTATTTTTAAGTCCTTTAACTATCAAAAGCACCCTTATCTTGAACATCATTAATTGCATGCATCAAACCCTTTTCTTTTAAAAAAATTGCCTTTGAGGTTGGTGATATAAGAAATTCCTAGAGGTGGGCACATGTGCTGGTTTGGTCCGGTTGCACCCCCAAATTACCGACCAAATTGCAATCACCTTGACCGTTTGAATTGAATCGGGAGTACAAATGAAGAGGATGAGAAAGATGAAGAAGAAGAAGGTGAAATTATGCTAGGTAGAGAGAGAGAGAGAGAGATATATATATATATATATATATATATATATATATATGTATGTATATGTATATGTATGTGTGTGTGTGCGCGCGTGTAAATGAGGAAGAGGAAAGGGCTGCGCGGCTATGTCAGGGCACAAGTAGAGATAAATTAAATATTTTTTTCACGTAGGGAATTAGAGGGTATTGGTTCGGTTTGGTTCATATCGAATGTTTCTAGTCGCGAATGAGGCACTTGACTGGTTCGCTTCAATTGTATAGTGTTTAACGAAGAATTTTAGTCAAAACCTGTTCAATACCTGCCGATTGGGTCTAGCTCAATCCAGTTTACTGGTCTTCTAATTTATATGCCTACCCCTAGAGATTTTCTTGACTTAGGTCTTTTGGAGATATATATTCGAAATATAAAATGTAGAGTCAATGAGCAAGTTTCTTGACCACCTACTTTTTGAGCATTTGGTCTTAGATGTTGGTAAACTTCAACATTCGATTTTGCCCCTCTCTCTTTGGAGACTAGATTATCAAAACTACCTCCATTGATGATAACATTACAAACCAACCAAGAGATCAACATCTTCTTTCTGTAATCAGTTTTTCTGCCTAAATTATATCGATATTGTCAATTTACCCCTCCCCCTAAAACTTTATGTTAGCTAATTTTTCTCTTGAATTATACAAAACTAGTCAACATACCACCCACCGTCATAGTCCTAGCAATTTCATCCAAGATGCCGTCAAATAAAGTCATTTTTGAAAGTTCTTTTACCATATCACACTATATTCTTTACAAAAAGTGGCCCTAAATGTCATTTTAGGAAGTTCAGTTTTTAGCAATTCAATTTTGATGACATATAGGGCCACTTTTTGTAAAGAATGAAATGACCAAGAGGTTCTCAAAAGTGAATCTTTATTTGACTACATCTTGGATGGAGTTGTTAGGAATATGACGTTAGATTGGCCGCCTTATTTTGTTGTCCTCCCTTAATAAACTAAATTAGAAACTAAATTATTGGCTAAACTTTGAGAGTTGGATGGATCCAAACAAATTGGGATAAGGCAAGAAATGGATCAATGTGGCCCACTACGAATCATGAGTCATCATTTGATATTGTCTCCAACTTACTTACCTAGGTCTAATAGAGTAGGCAACCCAAAGAACTCCCAATGGTGTATGCTTTTATCTCCACCTCCGTTCTATTAGTAAGTGGATCACACAACTTCTACGTTACAACTTAAAGCACTCTTAATTATGAAGAATCCTATAGCACTCTTGATCACGTCCTTATAAGCAGACCTGAATATTCCACCTTACAATTGAAGATCAAGTGCTTGTCACTCTGGGATCTGACATAAACTTGGAAGTTTAATCATAGGATTTTTCTATTTGTACACGTGGATTATATACCTAAATTATTTTGTAAACTTTTGTTTTTTTTTTTCTTGTCTATATTTTCATGAGTTTTTCCTAAAATATTGTTCAAACTAACGGGTCAGAAGTTATAGAACATGCTATAATCAGAAGTTATAGAATATGCTGGAGAACTTCCACGCATCTGAGTTTGGTTTGGTTGAACAGTATAGCTTCGTGCTTGAGGTGTTCTTATGGCCCTCCAAATACATAGTATATTAGGGTTATTCCCATGGATTTAAATCTCTATATGACTCAACTCTAGGATGACTTGCTTTTCAAGTTATTGCTCCTAAGGCCTGAACCTTTTCTTAAGCTAAGCATGTACCAAGCCCCCAATTGATCTATGAAGATATGTATTTTAAAAGGATATAAGATGATATTTATCATTGGGATAAACTTGAACGATCTTATCTTTTTAATATTTATTCTTTGGATAAATTTGGACGATCTTATCTTATTAAGATATTTATCCTTTGGATAAACTTGGATGTTCTTATCCTTTTAAATATTGAAGTTTATCATATCCCTATAACCACTATAAATATGAGCATAACTTCATAGTTTCTAAACATGAGAAATTATAAAGAAAGTTAGAGAGAGAAGGGGGAGGGAGTGCGTTGGTGGAGATTCTTGGATGGGTTGTCTTGCCAATTCTTTTAAGGGTTTTCATTATCGAGGTGAGTGATTCATGTAATGTGTTCTAAAAGTTCTTATTTTGTGATAAAATGACAAACCATGAATTATCATGGATTTGTTCTATTTACAAATATCTCTCCATTTCAAGTCAAACATGTCTTATTTGATGCAATCTTTCACACTATATATATTGATTGGATTATTTGTGAAATATGTACTATTCGTGTAACATGAGAATTTTAGTGTTGGGGTATCCGAGGAATAGATGTACCACACGGGTGTGTAAAACGGCATTGCTTGACGGTCATATTACATAATCTACTCACTGAGCGGTAGTTTGCTCATCCCTCACCCTGTTTATTTTTCAAATGAATTAGTGAGGAAGATAAGGACTAAACCGGCTGGTGTTGAATTAGATGAGAGTCATAGAACTTTACTTATTTTTGGTACACTTGTAAGCTTTTTGACCTATTTTTATAAGAGAATTTTATTTTAACCCATGTTTCGCCTTGTTATTTTACTTTTTATTTATCACGCAACGGGCATAGGATTTCTACCTTACCCCAGGTTCAGAGCATGGTTGTAAGTCAGATTGGAATGATGTTGTTATCCTTAAAATTATGGGAGAGATAGAAACAAAGTGGACATTCGCCTACCCATTCTCGATGATCAGGTGAAATCAAGTTGGAATTCTACTAGCATTGGGAAAGCACTTATGTAATTACGTTCCCTACAACTCAACCAATGTAAGGAAGACTTCTTCACTGAAACTCAATTTATTCATATTCTTTCTACAAAGTGATTGTTGGACCCAAAAAAAAAAAAATCTACAAACTGATTGTTGACTTGATCAAGCGGTCCAAATGGCAATGAATCTGAATCTGGTAGCAACAAAAGAAAGACTGTCTTCCATTAGAAAAGTGAGGTTTTGAGAGATTGATAATGGCACAAAGCAATTGTTCGCAAGGAGGTGCAATAATTGAGGAAAGGCAAAAGAATCATAATGGCACAAGGTAACTGTAATCTTCGACCTACGGCAGTAGGATTGAGCAGTAACAGATGCAAAATAATACGGCTCATATGTCGGCAATGATGATTCAACAAAACAATGAATTGTTAAGAAGATAAGAGGGTTTTAAAGCATCTCGAGTTTGGTTAATGCCCTATATCATGATTTGGCTGTGTTGGCATTGGAGATGGAAGACATGATAGGATCATTCGGTGGGTAGCAAGAGATTTCGAAACCATATAAAATATGTTCACCAAGAATATTGGAAAAGTTTACATGGTGTATCTATGTCTTACATTTATTCATTGATCGGGACAGTTATGTCAGAATCACAGAAAATAATAAATAAAAAATTGATCCATTGAAACTTAGAAATGGATCGGGAGCATTTTTCTAATATGATATGGTCGTTTTAGAAGAAGCATTATAGAAAATGTGTACGTTGAAATCATAAAAGTATCAAACATTTCAAAGAAAATAAAATCATACAAACATTTCTTATAAAGCCTATTAGCAATTGAGAGTTAAGTTAATAGTTTTTTTGTGTGACAATGGAGTTACATTAACATTAACAGGGGTAATCTTCCCTTTCTTACTCTAACACTAACCTTTGGAATTCGATTAACCTTGTATTGATTCGAATAAGCAAAAGATTACTATGTTGACAATGAATTAGTTCTATAAATTAATTGGTCCTTGCACGTTAATTCATGCACTTCACAAAGCTAATATCACCAAAATCTGTCATTGCTTGCTACTCTCTATTCAAATACTTCTGAACAATGCAGCACAACTACACATGCATATGCCATTTCCCTAACTTCATTTCCATGGAAACAATAGATTAATTTCTCAACGAATTATTAATTTTTTTTAAAAAAAAATAACATCAATTAATTCCACAAAAAATAAATATATAATGAAATTAATTAGCTCATGGAATGCATGGATCTCAAGATATGAAGATAATAGAAGTAATTAATCTTAAACAAAGCTAATTAAAGATGTTATAGAATAAGGAGGACCTGGTGCTTGCAAAATCATAGAGCTTGCCGGTGCTGGAGAAGATCATAACTCCGACCTCCGCGTCGCACAAGATCGCCAGCTCCTTGGCCTTCTTCAGCAGCCCGTTCCTCCGCTTCGAAAACGTCACTTGGCGGCTCGTCGAATTGTCAATCCTCCTTATCACAATCTTACCCCTTCCCATCGATCACACCTACCAAATCTAGGTCAATCAATTTATCCCTTCATAAAAAAAAAAACCCAGCTCCCGACCAAACACCATACTCTGTATGCACAACAAAATAAATCACAAGAATATTTTGTAGCCACGTGAGAACTTAAAGCTAACTAGCTTCTAGCTCTCTTTCATTCATTCTTGTTCAAGATCGGGGGAGCAAGAAAATTAAACAAATTTTCCAGGAAAGAGAGAGAAAATGGAATGGATGGAAGAAATTAAGGAATTAAAATTTGTGAGAGAAAATAAAAGAAAATAAAAATAAATTTGCGTTGAGAAACTTACTTGGTGCTCAAAGAAGAAGCTATGGCTTTTAAGTAATGGAGACAAACCGAGGTTTCACCAAAATAGCTTTGGCTGTACTGATGATTCACATCAGAACAAAGCTATATAAGGAAAGTGTACCTGAGGGCAGTAAAAACCGCCATCTTTTTGCGTACAAAACCACTAGCGGTTTTCTTTACTATAGACACGTGGACCAATCGGGTTGCGTAGGACCTTTGAATTCTTAAAGAGCCGCCCATCGTATAGATCGTTGACGCGTGGGTCTACGAATACGTACATCCTATTTTTGGGAATTTTCGCTTTTTTCAAATTGCTCGGGAGACGTTGGGGGAATAGAAAACGGTGGCGGACAAATTTGCCCCTACAAGGTTTTTGAAATTCCCGTTGTGTGCCGTTGTGACATGTGGGTGCTGACAAGCCTGTCGTTTTAGGCAGGGTACTCCCAATCGGGTAAATAATGGTTTTCTCTTTTTCTTTTTTTGTAAGACTTCGCTTTCTCTGAAGATAGAAAGGGACATTTATAATTTTATATAATTATAAAATATCTAATTATTTGGGTTACATGGGAGCTTTCCATAAAGAGATAGGGTGGGCAAAGTCTAACCCATTTTGGCATTTTTCTAAATAAATTAAAACAAGTGGGTACTTTTTTAAAATTATAAATATTGTAAAGCTAGCCTAATTGGGGACAGAAATGAGTTTAAAAATTATGCAAGTTTGCAAGATGACAATGCTAATGGTGGGTGGGCAAATCCTCTTGTCCATATATACAACTACAAAATTGATTTTATTTGGATACTAAAATAAAACATTTATATTGTGTTTTCTCATTTTACTCATTTAAAAAAAAAAAAATTATGCAATTGGGGAATGAGGGACCGAGCCTAGTACCTTGGTCATTGGGTGCAGAGGAATGCTCTTAACCACTTGAGCAACAAGCCCCTTGCTACAGGGGTGGAGCCATTAAAGGACTAGTGTGGTCCCAGGTCCCACTCCATCTTGTATTTATTGTATTATAATATTATGTATGATGTATAATATTTAACATACTTGATTAGTTTTAGGAGATATTTATCCTAAAATAAATAGTATATATTAGGTATTTTTTGTTTACAACCATAAAACTTCTTAATCTCTTTTTTACCTTCTAGATTAGTTTATGATATTTACACTAAAAACTCCTACATTTTTAACCTTTCTTTCTCTTTATCTTTTGTTTAAGTTAAACTTTGTGAATTTTTATTTTCCTCTCTTTTTTCATGTTTGAGTTGGGTACCTTAATATTAGATTTTGTATTTATTCTTTATATTGGAATATATATGATTAATTTTTGAGTCTATAATAATGTAGATGGTGAGATTAGTATTTAACCATTATAAAATATGAAATTGTGGAGTGATTGTAATGAATGGATATATTATTAATCAATATAAAATGATGTTATGAAGTAGGCTAAAAGGAATAGTTTAGTGTCATATTAATTTAGCCTATTCTTAAAAAATTGTGAAGGGCCTCCTCTAATTTGAAAGCCTGGCTCTGCCATTGACTTACAATCGTACTCAAGTGATTAAAAGCAGTTATTCATACAACGAAAGTAGTCGACTGATCAATTTCTTATCCTGATATAGTTGCTTTTTAAAAAAAAACCAAAACATCCATTCTTCAACTAAATAGTAATTTAGTAATTATCAAAGGCATTTGTCTCTATTTTTTGGCTAACTTTGTAACCGACAGAGAGGAAATAATCCGCTGTATGATGACATCATTCAGAAGAGAACAAAACACACAGATGAGTTTTAAATTGAATCACCCACCCACTCAACAACTTTAATAAAAGATAGGTTTAACTGGTTGGACATTTGTGGTGAAATTGAATCATCACAAAGTTATAAGACGGAAAAAGTGGATCTCTTTGTATTATTAAAACTCCCAAGGTACCATGTGAGTTGTGAAGATTAAGATTATATTAACTTCATTCGACCAACTAGAAGTTGAGTTCATAATAACATTTGAGAATATGGATATTAAGCGTGACAAAGGGGAAATTCATGTCAAGGAAAATAACAACTTTAACTGTTCAGATTTCAAATCGATTCTTCGAGAGATGTAAAACTCATTTATACATATGGGCTCAAACTCATCTACTTATAGGTTTTACTTTGCGTAGCTTACTCATATGAGAGGCGAGTACAAAATCACACTCGACTTGAAGAATTTTCCCCATATTAATAATCGATGCAACTGATAATACGGTTCATAAATATATGTTTATACCAAAGAGAGAAGGATTGTAATTTATTTATTTCTTAAAACAAAAGGAAGGAAGATTCTAAATTTGGAAAGAGATAGCACGTGCAGAAAAAGCACATTCTATAAAGATTATGATTATTGATTTGCCTTCCTTGACAGACCCCGCCATATCCAACTAGGTTGCCATTACCAGACCTACCAATTATTACAGGGATATCCTGGTAATTCTACAAAAGTCAAGGGGTAATTTGGCCAATTCAATTCACCTAAAGATAGAGAAAGAGAAGATCACGTGCATCGCATGATATGTGCACGGGACGTGTCAGAAGACAAAACAAAAAAAACGTTGGGAATGGGAAGTGGTTTCAGATTTATGACAGACATTTTCCTTTTTCGTTTTTTTTTTGTTTCCAGAAAAATAAGGTTACCAAATAGGGAAATTTGCTGGCTTTTCCAACAATAGTTTGCCCGTGACTTCACTTCATTTTGATGATGTTGCCTGAGTGACCTGACCCCTCTCTCTCTCTCTCTCTCTCTAAACTAAACGAAGAAGCACCTGATGCTCTCTGCCAAGTGTGAATCTTGTCCCTCACCTGAAAGAACAAGTTCCAAAGATAACTATATATATCGACCCACTTGCATTTTCATGCCCACCAAAAGAGGTAGGGGGCTCATCGCTCTTTGTTCCAACCATACTAAACTTGGTAATTACTTTGTAAAACGTAATTAATATATACGCATTCAACAAAAACAAAGTATTCAAAGAACTTTAGTCCTGTATCTTAAGAAGTTTGATTGGTTCAATAGCAATTTAATAATCATCTCCCTCTCCCTCTCTCTCTTTCTCTTCATTTCCCCAATCTCTCCGGTACTTTTTTTTTCACCTCTAAACTACTCTCGTCCTCATCTAATATTGTCTTGTTTCTTGACTTCTTATTTTGTATTCTTTACTAAAAAATTTGAGTATCTACGTGATATGACATTTAGCATCCAATAATGTGACCCACCTGTATGTTAATATTATCTTGCTAGTTGTCGATCATTTCAATACATTTTATTCGTAATGGGGAGTTAAGGTGTCATTATTTTACTGGGGTATGGTTAAAAAGAGTGCTCTTTGAAAGGATCAAGCATGTGAGATAATTTTCTGTGTAACATAAACATGTTTACACATATGATTTGAATCTCACTTAACGACAAAGTGACAGACGAGGTGTCTTAATCGCTTACCTACTCATTACAAAACTGATATTAATTCATTAAAATAATAATCTTTGATGAATATTTCTTATTGCATACTTCGTTGAAAGGGCCCCGATAATGAATTATTTATTTGATATGCCCAGTGTAGTGCACTGGGCTTCAATAATTGGGACCCGCTATTATATGGATGGGTCTCTCGATTATTGAAATTAATTATTAAAGGCTTTAGAGCCCAACAAATGCATTTGACATTCGAAAAAATCACTCCACGAAATGCTAAAAATTAATCGTTAAATTAGCCATTTGTAATTCTTTTAGGTGAAGCAAAACGAATGTAATTTAGACATGCACAAAACACAATTCTTGGATTCCTTTTCCCATTGAGCTAGCCATTTGGTTTCTCATATTTAGGTCGAGGTTGATGTCTCAATGACCACAATTTGATCTTGTATCTTTATCATAATCTAAAACCCTCCGAATCCATGGGAACCAATAGCAGATATCAAGAGATGATTGAGAGACATGCACGTCCAAAGGCATCACCATTAGCAAATCGAGGTAGCCATTTTTGCACGCCTTTAAATATTGTGTTTAGCCCGATGGCATACAACTGGCTTTCAACCAGAACCACGAGCGCCTGTCCACAACCTGATCCACCATTTCTGAGAAAGGCTTTTGCAGGTGATGGAGAAAACTTTTTAAAGCTCTATACATTTTCAAACTTCCATCATTTTACTTTATAAAACCAGGGGTTTACCGAAAATGGTATCTAAGCATGTTTATTAATCCGCACTTGAATTTATGAGAATTAAATTCTGAATTCTTATTGAAGTTGTTTACTAAAACCACATAGAATGGGGGCAAGAGTGGTGCTAATTACTAAAATGTCCTCATTGTTCGGTTAAAGTAGATGGTAAATTTTGGTAAATTTGAAATTTTTTTTTATTTCTTTGGATTGGCTGAGTCAAGTAAATAATGTTGGATGGACCCATAAGATTCGATTTGTACTAGGCAAACGCCCAATAAGGAACATTCAAGATTTATACATGCCGAAGATCAAGGGCGTCTATTATAAAAATAAATCTTCCATGATTCCAATACTTAGTATTAGGACAAGTGTCAATCATCAGCTAAGTGATACTAAGTACACAGATCAAGAAGAAAGTTGATCTCCCATTATAACTTCTCCCTTTATTGGATACGATAATAACTTCCATTAATTACTTTATCTAAGACTGGAAATCCCACTTTTCCTTGAATTCGGGATGTTTGATGGGATATAATATTAACATTGAAAACAGAAGCAGATGGACTTTATCTTTTTTGAAGGAAGAAAAGCATGCTGCCATGTATTCATTCATGATATGGCTCAACCAAACCTATTTCTGTGGCTGGTCCCAACTGCAAAGTATCGTCTAAACAAAGTCTTTGCAAATGAAAGCTCTCTTTTTTTTTCTTCATAGAAAGAGTCATCCTATAGCTTGTCCATGATGGGAAATATATATAATATAATTTTCTTTTCATATTCTTTTATGATTCCTCCTATAATATACGATTCTTATAATGGTCCCAATCTGGTATAAGTTGAGATAAGATTACATCAAAGCG